TATCAGCCTTCTGATCTTTTGCACTCTGACCAGAATCTCCCATAAAAAACAGCCTAAGCCATTCCAGTTCTATTTCTTCAGGCAACATCTCTGACCCTTTCTAAACTCTCCCATAAGCCATTTGTAGAGGCTCTTGAAGCACATGGTCAGGGACCATCACTTCTCTGGTACCAAATTGTCTTGGTTGCTTTTTTCACATTGCTGGGACAAAATGCCTGACACCCAAAATGAAGGAAGGAAAAGTTTATTTATATCACAGTTTGTGGAGGTTTCAATCTATAATCAACAGGCTCCAAGGCACAGTAACATGGCATAGTGGTAACTGTTTATGGGGGAAGCAGGTACCAAAGATGACAAGAGCAAAAAAGGCAAAAGGGAAAAGCATGCCTCCTCCCTCTCTTATACTGTATGCTGGCTATCCACCCTGGGCATTCACATTACCAGTCCCAGAGCTAGACAATGAACCAATCACAAATGCTAGACTCAGCCACCCCCATGATTGCATGAGACTTTGTGAGAACATTCAAACACAAACCATAACAATATCCACAACAATTTTTAAAAACTTGCCTTTTTCTGGTGATATAGTCATAACTTGGTGAAAGAAATTTTAAGAACCAAATGAAAAGGAAAAGGAGGAGGAGGAAGAGGGAAAAGAAGGAGGAAGCAGAGGAGGATTCTTTTCTAAAAATACTAAGATTAAGATGGCATATTTTAAAATAATCCAAGCAGTTGAACTTTCTGGAACTTTTTATTTTTAAACTTTCTCTTTTTAAAAAATATGCTTTTACTTGTAGAGATGTGATAGTATGAAATAAGCTCATTTAATCTAAGATTGGGCCATAAATCACAAACACTTAGTAAAATGAATGTGGTCAGCTTTTATTGAGCATTTCCCCAAATTCCCTTTTGTCCACTGCCTCCTACTGAAGCAGTAGCATAACTGCCATCCTTTAATGCTTTATTCTTTGAGGACAAGTGATGCATTTCTTTGTATCTCCATAACACCAGCACTTAGCTTCTTAAGGTATAGCACTAAGTGAACATTGCCATAGTGGAACAGCACCAAGTTGAAATCAGTGTTATCAGAACTTTTACTTTTTATGAGGTATCTTCTGCTCCAGCCTATGCCTGTAGCCCAGGCTGTCACTAACCTCAGACTAACCTTGGAAAACATGTCAACTTTGCCATATTCAAGACGCTGTAAACACTAGGCATCCCTTTCCACATCAAACTACATCTATCTTGTACCTTGGTCATGTAAAATACTTTCTGTGAATGCTGTTAGAATGTACCACTCTGTGAAATTGTGGTGACTACTAATGAGTTCACTTTTTGCCTTTCAGTTTATGTATTAAAAGTTAATCATTTTTATTAATAATTATGTAACCATAATGACAGTAGTTACCATTTATAAAAATGCCTGGCACAGTCTGTGGAACAGTATTTGTAACATTATTATAATTATCTTTGACAATGACCACTGGAAGATCAGTAATAATGATGACCATAATGAACTCATACTAGCCCAAGGATGTTTTTGGTTTTGGTTTTGTCTTTTGGTATTGTCTTAAGGAAGGAATTAGGTAGAATTATAGTTACTCTAGGTCCGGGAGTTGATATAGAGTTAATAAGTAAATGTACTTTTTGTAAAAAAAGAAAACTGTATATGTTCTCATAATTTCAGAATCAATTAAAAAGCATTATAGATTGTGATTAATGTGATACTTTGGTGTCCATCTGCCTTGTTTAAAATTCAGGCCTGTCACAAGCTAACTGTGTGACTACAGTGTAGGCAATTACTTAACCTCTCTGACTCCTAATTCTATCATTTATAAAAAAAGGATAATTATAGTCCCTAACTCAGAGGATTATGAGGGCTAAATGATACAATGAGTATCTATTGTGTCCTTTAGAGCACTAGTAATATACATTGTTTTTTATTTTTTGTTATGGTTGTTATTTTAAAAGAATTGAAAAATTATAGCAAAGCAAAAAAGAAAAGAGCCATATGTAAGTCCATTTATATGACAGATATTGACATTAATAATGGATTATATTCTGTTTTTTTCTAAAGAATTGAATGCTTAAGAATAGTAAATTTTTAAAATATTTGTATTTATTATTTAACTTTTAAGTAATTTAATTTTTTGCCCCATATATGTTCTTTTATATAGTTTTAGTAGTTGTGTATTAGTCTAACATATGTATGTGCTATAATTTGCTTTGGATTTTTTACTTATAATAAATGATTATCTAAAATAATATGTATATTTGGTCATATTTGATTAGTTTATTGATATAAATCCATAGGAAACCATTTAGTAAAATATAGAATACTTTAAAAGTTGTACTTTAAGGTAAATTGTTAAATTGGCTTTCATGAGGTCTTTAATTTCATTTCAAGCCATGGTACATAAAGCTTCTAGTTTCACTGTAATCTTTCCAAAACTGGTTAGTATATATATTTATATATAATCCAGTTTAATGCTTTTTACACAATATGAAACAAATATGTTTCAATTCTGAGCCTCAGATTCCTAACCTATAAGATCAGCAAATAGATGTAAAATTCAGAGATACAGTCATAGATCTTAAAGTTTACATTGATGCCAGAGCCTGTTGATGCTCAATATTTGAAGTTTAGTTTAAATGAAAAAGAACCATAGAAATGAGCTAACACTGGAAGAGCTGATAAGTTAAACAAGAGGGCAGTTCTCTGGTTATGTTGGTCAAAATACCCTAATGTCAGTCAGGCATACAAACTGATATATTTTAAATTTCTGATTATTTTTGGATTGTCCATCCTATTAAACTGCATGCTCGATAGAAGGACCTCCACTTATTTTATATCTTAATTACTTAGCAGAAACCTTGACGCATAGGAGGGGCTCCATAATAAATGTGTATTGAGACACTAGCCAGCAAGCCAGTCTGGAAACAAATACCATGTGCAGGCCATCACCAGACCATGAAAAGCCAGAACCAAGGTTTTCCCCCATGAATTAGCACCATTTGTGGACTGGGGGGAGACAGAACAAGGAAGGCCACACCAGCAAGCAAGCCCAGTGTGGGAACCAGCACCATGCTTTAGCCACCATCAGACTGGGAACAGCCAAACCCTCTCTCCTTCTGGTGCTTGGGCTGGCAAACAAGAAGTACCAATCATCCTCCCCACTCCCATAAGTAACCGGCTTATCTGGAGAAAAACAGGGTATGATGATAACAATTAGAAGGTGAAATGCAATTAGATGGATGCCTGCAGTGCTTTGGTATTACACTAACACTGCAGGTCTAGGGCCAGTGGTCTGATCATGGATTCAGAGGATAGCAGTGCACAATGTGGCTTCTGGGGCAAGGATCTCCTTCTGAGGGTTTATAGCCATGTTGATTCCCAGTCTTGTTTTGAAGCCCTATAACATTTCCATTATTTTGTTGGGCTGAGTTTTATTCTGTCTTGTTTTGTTTGATTATGTTAAATCCAATGGCAGGAGCAGCTATTTCAAAGATAGCAAGATATATTATGGTAGCAATTTTGGATTTACTATTGGCTCATTTTGAAATTCTTTACTGCATTCATTGTTTTGTTTTTATTGTTTGATTTTTACTATGATTACTGTTTGATTTTTACTATGTGTGAAGTTACCTGCAGCTATTTTGAAGACATCAAAAGGCATTGTGATAACTATTGTTGATTTTTTATCTCTAGTTGATATATACTGTTATATTAGACATAGTTGTTCAAGTTACAAAATGAAAGCATAAAAAAATGAATAGACAATCAAACAATGACAGCACAAACTTCTGTTTGATGAACTATCAAAAGCTTAGTAATATTGTTATCTTGCACACTTAAATATACATACAGTTATATTTGTATACCTGTAAGTTATTCTTTCCTTTCAAGCACTTTTTTTCCCTTTCATTATTACAATATCTATTAAACATTTTGAATCTTATTACTCTTTCAGCTTTTTATGATTATTACTTATTTTTGTACAAAAATGGGCATCTGAGATGAATATGCATTTCTCAGATGAAGATACACAAATGGCAAATAAATACATGAAGAAATATTCACCATCACTGGCCATTCGAGAAATGTGAATTAAAACAACATTGAGATTTCATCTTACTCCAGCAAGTTGACAGGATGGTGGGGAAAAAGGAACACTTCTCCACTGTTGATAGGAGTGTAGACTGGTGCAGCCACTGTGGAAATCAGGATGGAGATTCCTCAAAAAAAGCTAGGATTGGAAGTTCCATTCAATCCAGCTATTGTTGATTTTGTAGTGTTTTCAAGTCCTATATCGCTTACACTGGTTTGTTTTGATTGGTTTTATTCTGTTTTATCCACTTTAAAATTAAAAAAATTCAAAATAAATAAATGAGTATTGAGCAAACAAATACCCTGAATGAAGCTACATGCACACTATTTTTAGTGCTTGTTGAAGTTGCACATCCTCTAACCTGATGGTGCCTCTCCACCTGGAGTGCAAGTGCCCTGACACCAGGCACGAAGGAGGCTCCTCTATTGTGAAGTGACTGGTTGATTGTACTCTGCAAGATAGTGTCTTTCTCACTGCAGTGACAGACAGGAAATTTGAACCCTTTTCAGACAGCAGAAAAAGCACAGAAAACCGAAAAGCAATCTATTTACAGATGTCAACACAGCCACTGTGTTTACAGGCATGATTTGCTGTGCCAAATTTGACGGATTATTTTTATATCCTTCAGATTTATCTTGTTTTCATTGAAATATGCTATAAAATGTTCTGTTACCTTTTGCAAGGTGAATGAATTGTGAGATTGGGTAAAAGTATCTTTCACAGCCAGGAGACTATCCTAAACCGAGAGCTGGCATGACTGTGAATTGGTAATATGGTAAAGATTTGTGCATGTTACATATTCAGGAAGCACATTAGAATGTTAGCTATGGTAGCAAGGATTTACACAGGATTCAACTAGACATTTAAAGATCTTATTTTCTTCTTTTGCAGGTTAATTGTGTATGGTTTTGTGAAGGCAATGATATATGCTGGTCAGCTGAAAAATGGAGACTTTCATTTCACAGACTGTTTATTTTTTGGTTCACTGATGTCAGCTACAGATCCAGGTAATTGCTCAGATAACATATTCTCTTCTTGTAAAGAGTAAAGCATTTAGACTGGGCAAGGTGCTGCATGCTTGTAATCCCAGCACTCAGGAGGCTGAGGTAGGAGGATTGCTACAAGTTCATGGCCAGCCTGAGCTACATCGTGAGGCCTTGTCTCAAAAATCCAGGAAAAAATGCTAGGTTTGCAGCTCAGTGTGAAGACCCTCTCTTTAATCCCCTATACTACCACCAATGAGTAAAGCATTTAAATTGAATTTTTCTCAAAAGCCATCACCTGACATTTTCTACTAATAGTTATTTATTCCTTGTCCCATGCAGTTGACGTATCTGTTGGTAATTTTTTAAAGAAAGAAAAGGAGAGTAGGTGGATAGGTGAATATTTAGATAAGTCAAGAAATAGGTGAATATTTAGATAACACTCAATAAATTAATGAGAAAGCAATTTCAGTACTGAGAGAGACTGGCTAAAGTCATTCTAGTTTATTTATCTAGAACTCAGTCATTTTGAGTCATACTCTAATCATTGTCTAATCAACATATCTTCCTTCAAAATGACCTATTAAATTAAAAGGTTTAAAATACTTTTAAACATAGTTTACTATGGAACTTTTCAGTATGTCAAAAGTAGGCAGAATGGTAAAAATCATGCCATATACTCTTCAGCAGTTACCAAATATGGTCAATCTTTTATTTATACTTCTCAGCTCACTCTTTCTCATCATGACAGCATTAGGTTAAAGCAAATCTTGCATAGTATATTGATATGTAAATATTTTGAAAAATGATCATTGCTGTATAAAACCTAAAAGTATTTAAAAACATGATTTAACAATACCAAAGTCATGTTATTACCATTATTAGTTTGTGTAGCCATTTTTGTATAAATCAGGATCCAAATAAGGATTGCACACCACAGTTGATTGTTGTGACTGTTGAGTTTCTTTTAACCCTTAAGCTCCTCTCCATTTTGTAACTTGCCATGCAGTTGAATTGAATTTGATTCCATAAAGTGTTCTTGTATTTTTCGTATTTCTTGTAAGATGATAGTTGGAATAAAGGCTTAATCAGATTCAGGTTCACTGTTTCTTGTCGAAATACTCAAAAGGTGATGCTGTGAGACTTCTGTTGTATCATGTCTGGAGGTAAATATTGATTAGTGCCTGAGCTGTCAGGCTGATTCACAGTAATGAGCTGATACAGTAGTAAAGATCACCAGAACACACCTGTAGGTGAACAAGATGGGTTTCCTACATGCTGTGATGAGAGCAAATACTCACTGTAGAGAACCATGGGTTGTCTCAGGGGTGGTTAGTTAGGACTGATGATAGCACTTGGATTTATGCTTGTGACTTTAGGGCTCTGACCTGGAATAGATGATATTAGGAAGTAGAAGCAATTCCATGACTGGTAACTTGATTAAGTCTTTCCTAGAAGGAGGAAAGCCTAAAGGTATAACTGGTCAAGAAATAGTGGTCCATCCTAATAGCTAAGGTAGGTAATTGTCTGGTCAGTTTTGTGGTTTGAACAGTATTCATTATTTGTGTTTAACATGCTTATGTAATAATTTTATTTTTGTTTGGATCCATCAGAGTCACTGAGTGACTTTGACAATTGTTGATGTTCAACAGGAAAATATAAGGTCTAGCTAACAGCACCAGACCAACTCTTCAATGTTTCTCTCTCTCTCTCTCTCTCTCTCTCTCTCTCTCTCTCTCTCTGTCTCTCTCTCTGTCTCTCTCTCTCTGTCTCTCTCTCTGTCTCTCTCTCTGTCTCTCTCTCTCTTTAAATCTCTATCTCTGTCTCTCTCATTTTTTCCTTTTCTTTCCAGTCTTTTTTTCTCAATTTTTGTTTTTCATTAGCATATGTTTACAGTATATAATCTGACCAGTAATTTTGGCACCAAATGGTGATTTGTACCCTCAGGCTCAATCCCAGACTTAGTAAATCAGAATCTAACAGTATCCCTAAGTAATTCATAAGTACATTAAAGTTTAAGGGCTAGGGATACACCTCTTGGCTAAGAATATAGCTCAATGGCACAGCACCTGCTTGGCAAGTGTGAGGTTTGACTCTAGGTACAAAAAAACAAACTGAGAAACTCCATATTTTAGAGTTACTCATTTCACTTAATGGCATTAGGACCTTTTGCTAGCAACTGCTTCTTCCAGTATTTCTTGGAGTTACAAATAAATAGCATGCAAATTCTGTCTACATTTTGCATTTATTACCTGATACTCTTCTTAAAGAATAGTTTTCCAACTATTTGAGTATTCATTTTATAGTAAAAACAAGCAAACAAGACAAATGATTGATTCTTTTCCTTCACTTAATGTGTTGTTTCTCTGAATCTTCCATGTTACCAACATGAATATATGGATTTGACATACTTGGTATGTCAAGCTACTATTGTGGTTATTCTTTCTGATGATCAAAATGTACCATTTTCAGTAAACAGAAACCCTTCCAAGTTTCTCATGCACCCCTCTGCCATGACCACACTGATCTTTGATAAGCTTCTTGTATTTGGATAGAACTAGATGTCCCTAACTTTATCTTAAATGTTTCCTTAATCTTGACTAGGAATCAAGAAGGAAATTTATTTAGAAACCATAACTGGGGCATTACAGCTTTCATTGCTAGTAGATTGGTCATCATTTGTAGACCCTTTTTATTAGAGAAATTGTATCACATATTTGTATTATATTTTCAGTTCAAATTTAGGATTATAGAACTCTTTACTGCCTTGAATCAATTTAAATTTGCAATTTAAATTTTTCTTCTTCCTACTATTCTTCATCTTACTATATAATTTCATAGCTATTTAAAATATATATCCTCAAAATTATTACACATATTACTAAAAATATCATAACTGAAAACCACTTAAGATTTTATTATGGTTATTTTTAACCTTTAAATATATTCTACTTGGGGTGTGCAGTTAAAAGCTTCTGTTCTAAAATTCACTTGAAGTTAACTACGTGGTTAATCCACGAGTCAGCGCACAAAAATGTGCCTCTCCTTCATTATGCTTTTTTGTTTTAAAATTAGATTAAATGTCTATAGAATTCTAAAATGAAAACCACAGAACCCTATAAGAGAAGTCTGCTGTTATCCTTGTTCCCCTACCCTAATTTTCCAACTATTTCTGTTGGTTTTCAGCTTAACTTTCCATTTTTAAATATAAGCATATACACAAACATAAACCTACTTTACCATTATGTCGCTTTAGTCATGACTCTTTTTCTTACTTTTGTTTAACTCTGTTTGGGGAGCACTCCACAGAAACATATAAAGCTCTTTCTCATTTTGTTTGGTAGCTGCAGAGTACTCCATAGTTTTATTCAGCCAGTTCCCTATCAGTGGACCTCTTGGATTCTTGTCTTTTACAATTATTAATGGCACTGCAACTAATAAGCTTGAAATTAATAGCTTTTCATATATTACCAGTGTTTCCTTGAAATAGATTCCTAGAAACAGATTAAAAGGTAAACGCATTTATAATTTTCTTAGATGCTAAAGAGACTTCATGAAGTTTGTACCATTTTGCCTTCATACCATCAGTATCACAGTTCCTGTTCTTCATGGTCCTGGAATCCAGTAATCTATCACAATTTTAGATTTTTACCCACATGCTAGGAGAGGCTTTCTATCTCTTTCTGTTTGACTTAGTGCTTCTCTTCCTATATGTGAGGGTTAACATTTGTTTATATATTTAGAGGATGTAAGAATTTTTCTGAAAATCAGTTATTTACAAGATGTGATTTTTTGATAGAGCTGTTGATATTTTACATTTCAAGTTTTATAACTCCTTGATATATAAGAGATATAACTCTTTCTCTGTAATAAAATTGCAAAGATTCTCCCCTGCTTTTCATGTTTTAGGGTGCTTATGGGTGTGTGGAGTAGGGAAGAGGAGTTAATGTATGACGTTGATCTGTTTCCTGGAAGACAATGAAATGATTGTCTCAGGTTTGGAACCCACGGTGTAGTTTGTGTGTGCAGAGACAAACAGCTCCATCCTCTAGGTTAGAAACAACACACTACATCACTGGTGGGAGATTTCATAGTGTACCTGCTGAAATATTTCACGCTCTACTCACACAGCCCCAGGGAAATGCAGAAGTATCTTGACAGCCACCAGAACCATGACTCAACACAAAGTATCTGATGCCCATTAGTGATTCTGCTAAGAGGTAGTATTCTTCTGTGTATGAGAATTCTGCATTTCAGAGTCAGGCCTCCTTTCGGCTCACCTTTGCACAGTGCTGTGTGTTGAAAATCATTTCATCCATTGATTCCTGATCTCAACACTGCAGTCTGAATTTGTTGTGTTCTACTGAGTGACTGAGCCTGCTCCAAGCATAATTGAGTTCTGCTCAAGCTTTACCCCTTGTGTGGCTGATAACATCCCTGTGGTTATGTTTCCATGACACAGAAAAAATGATTGTAATGGGGGGAAAAAAATCCAAGCCTGAATGATGGCTATTTATCTGCAGTGTGTCAAACAACTGAGTTTACTGAACTTTTAAACTACAAAATTGCCTCACAACCGTAAGGAGAATCCTGGAAACCAAGTCCATTTTCCAAGTCTGGCTTGGACCAACTGTGCAAATTTGGGCAACCACTTAGCTTCTGTAGGTTATATGAATTCATGGAGATAGGGGATATGCAGTCTCATTTGTTTCATCCTTATATTTTCCAAATAAGAAACTGACTCCATCTGTAAAATGCTGCTGCAATCCTTCAAGCTCTAATGTCCTATGATTCTTATTTCTGTGGTGCTGGATTTTACTTTAAAATGAAGCTTTTGTTTTAAGAAAAATAAAAGGCAGCCCAAATTCTGTGTCCTACATATTCTAGAGTTCTAACACCAGCAGATCAAATGCTAGAGATGCCCTTTTACAATAGAAACCTATAATATAAGCAGGGACACTTACGTCCCTTTTATGGCCCACTTTTACTGAGAGCTAATTGCTACACTAAAACATGCGTTTAGC